TGGGGTTTCTTCATATGTAACGAGTTGTTCTCTAGCTGCCTTTAAGATTTTCTTTTTCTTTTAATTTTGACATTTTAATTATAATGTGTTATGATGTGGAGCTCTTTGGGTTCAGCTATTTTGAAACTCTCTGTGCTTCCTGGACCTGGATGTCTATTTCCTTCCTTAGGTTGGTTAAGTTGTCAGCCATTATTTCTTCAAATAAGTTTTCTGTCTCTTTCTCTTTCTCTTCTCCTTTTGGGACCCTATAATGTGAATGTTACTCCACTTGATGTTGTTCCATAGGTCCCGTAAGCTATCTTTATTTTTTTAAATTCTTTTGGTTTTTGTTGTTACTGTTGTTGCTGTTCTTTTTGGATAATTCCCATTGCCCTGTCTTCCAGGTTGCTGATCTGTTCTTCTGCTTCATCCAAACTGTGATTGAAATTCTTTAGTGTATTTTTTTCAGGTCAGGTATTGTATTCTTCAGTTCCATGACTTCTGTTTGATACTTTCTTATATTTTCTGTCTGTTTGTTTGACGTTTTCACTGTGTTCGGCCATTCTTCTCCCAATTCAGTGAACGTCTTTATGATTTATTGAACTCTTTGTCAGGTAAATTACTTATCTCCATTTCAACAAGGATTTTTTTTCTTTTCTTTATATTTTTATGTTGTTCTTTTTATTTGGAATGTATTCTTGTTTTATCGTTTTGTTTTTCTCTATATTTTTGTTTCTGTATATTAAGTGGAACAGCTATCTCTCCAATTCTAGAAGGAGTGGCCTTGTGTAGGCAATGAAACTTTTTGTTCAACCTTGCCCTAGTTCTTGGTTGTATCTTGAACTTTGTGCTCACCTATGTAGTCTGATTTATTCTTAATAGGGGAGAGCACAAGGGTAGAATGAGCAACTTGCTGCAGTGGGGCCCAGGGAGATACAACATGTGGGCAGGGTGAGCCTGCTGGCTTCAGAGAGGCTATGGGGGAAGAAAGAGAGGGCCCAGGACAGGAGTGAGGTCCCTGGCAATAGTAGGGCCACTAGAGCTTGTGGGTAGGGCAAGCCAGGCAGCTGCAGCAGGGCTATGGGAGAGCAGCTGCAGCAGGGCTATGTGGGGCAATCCCTACAATACCAGCAAGGTTGAATGAGAATGCAAACATGGTGCTTGCCAGCATCTTCTCCCCTCAAGAAAATCCTACCAGACTCCTGTGTCTCCAGCGCATGCTAATGAATGTCCATTGCATATAGAAAGGTGCTTTCCAAACTACGTGTTTTTTTTTTTTTTTTTGGAGATTCCTGGGGTAAGTCTGTAAGACCTTTAAAAGCAGCCTTTCCATTTATCACAGCCTTTTGGATGTCCAGGGTATAAGCCCTTTTGCTTTGCAGAGTCAGATATTTTGGGTGTTCATCTCTCCAGTGTAAACCCCAAGGGTTGGGGTGCCTGATATGGGGCATAAGCCCCTCACTCCTCGGGGAGAAACTCTAAATTTGTGAGGTCCCCCTAAACAGTGATTTGACTTGTTGAGGGTAGGGATTTTAGCGAGATTATGTCTCTGCCTCTCTTACTGTCTCGATGTAGCCCTTTTATCTTTTGTTGTGGAAAAGCTCTTAAGCTAGTTTTCTGGTATTTTTCAAGGGGAATTGATCTTTGTGTAGCTGAAGATTTGGTGTGTCCATGGGAGGAGTTGAGTTCAGGATCTTCCTACAACATCATCTTGAACCACCCTTTCATTTACTTAATATTTACTGTGCATTCTGTGATAGAGGACTTTCTCTTTTCTTCCATTCCTCTTACAATGCTCCTATTTTACTTCCTTGAACATATAGAATATATTCTAATATATATTAGAATATATTCTAATATCTTCTATTTAACACTCTTTTCTCCTAATTCTATCATCAGTGTCATTTCTGTATCTTTTTAATTGATTGAATCTTCTCCTTATTTTGTGTCATATTTTCCCACTTATATATTATCCTGGTTATTTTTGATTGAGTGCCAGGTATTAATGATTTTATGTTTTGGAATACTGGATATTCTTGTATTCCCTTACTCTATTTTTAGATATAGTAAGTAACTTCAGAAAAGTTTGATCATCTAACGATTGCTTTTAGGTTTTTTTAGTGGATCCAGAGCAACCTTCAGCCTCAGGTTAACGTAGTTCCATTACTGAAGCAATATTCTTCTGAAGAGGTGACTAAATGTCCTGCATTCTAAGAAGTCTTTATACTCTGGATGGTTGAGATGCAAATTATTCCTGGTTCTGGGATTGTTGTGCTTTATCTTTTCCAATGGTTCTTTCCCTATACTGGGAAAGCCTTACTGGCATGCAGTCACTAAATCAGTCCTTAGTTAAAGGTTGGTTGGGAATGCACTGCAGATCTCTACCCTCTTTCTTGTGCAGCTGTCTTTTCTTATATTCTCTGATCCACAAATTCTAGTTACTTTAACCTCCTGCAACTGAGAACTCTGCCTGGCTGAGTTTGGGTTCTCCCTCTATGGAGCTACAGCTTGGAAACTCTCTTCAAGTAACTATGGTGATCTTCAGAGGTCACAGTCATGAGCTACTTGTTGATTAGTTTGAAACAGTTTGAAAACTGTTATTTAATCTGTGTCCATTGTTGGTTGCCATTTGTAGTGGGAGGGTAGATATGGTCCCTTTTACTCCATTATGGTTAAAAGTGGAATTATCCTCCCTTCTTTATCATTTCCACTAATTCCCTGATTCTAATCCTTACTTTCTTATGTTTAGAAAAGGGGTAGTTAGAGAGTAAGTATAGGCTTACAGAATTTCGTCAGAATTCTTTGGGAGTCTTTTTCAGATATGGCATTCCTCAGAAGTGGACTGTGTATAAAAATGAGTATATTCTATATCACAAGTTTATTAGGAGAGAGGTTTTAAAGAACTATTACTTTGGTTATATGCCTTGCTGATATTTTTAAATTGAGCTCTTGAAGGGAATATAGTCTTTACATATTGATTTCCTCTAAATCTCTTCAAGATCTACCCATCCACTTCAGAGCCCAAATCATAAATGTTTTTTCCCATGAAAATTTCCAGAGTATTTTACCCATGTTCTTTTTCCTTCTCTCCTACTATGGTAGATCCTTCTTTGGACCTACCCAACACACAAAAACTTATGAATAAATTCATTAATGGAATCTACCTTATCCTCTGTTACTGCTGTTACTTCCATTCATATTATGAATTCTTCATGATAGGTAGCCATGTCTCACTCATTTGCTCTACTTCACACATTTAGCACAATATTCCAAATGAGGTAGGGAAATAACTCTTTTAATTAGAAAGAACACTAGAATTTAGTTAATCTGCTGCTTATATTACTGTGTAAATCTAGGTTTCTTCATCTGTGATTTCAGGGGTGGGAAAATCATACTTGCAATTTTAGTTCTGTAATCTGTGAATGAGGGTAGGAAGGAAAATAGACATATGAGCTAATTGTGAGTGTTGAACCAGGTAGAATATATAAGAAAAGAGTTTTATAAGCTATAAATTGCTTAAACTTCTAGGGTATTATTATTGTTGTTGCTCTACAAATTAATACTTTCTATTGACTAGATTAAGAAATATATTGTATCACTAATTGCTGTGAAAGTTCTATCTGTACATTATATTCTAGACAAAATTTGCTGAAACATCATTTTTAGTTGTTATAAGTTTTAGATTAATAAAAATATGAAAAGAACATTAAAAATACAGAGCAACATATATATATATGTATATATATATATAGTATTAGTATTTTACAAACTGCTTTTGCACCCCACTCTTATGTAATTTTTGCACATTTCATGATATCTTTAGAGATGTCAATAGAAACCGGAAAAACAGATGTTAATGAGTCATAAAAGGATAAGTATTATATTAGGATATGTGCCAATGCTTTCTGGAAAGTGAAACCAGAATTCACTGGAAAGATCATTTAGTGTATTGAAGAAATATTCTCTTTCATTCTAGGAAATATTTGTTCTAATCCTTTCAGAGATTTTTTTTTTAATTTAAACTTGTATGGGCAAATAGATATCCCATCCCCTAAGGACAGATCCTAACGGTTTTACATTAGTGGGCCTTACAATCAATTCAATACTTCAAAATACCATTACAAGAAAAATATAGAAGGAAAGCTAAAGGAGAAGGAAAAAGAGAAGGAGGAAGAGGAAATGAGGGGAATAAACACGAATGGAAGAGAATATACAGTATAAGAAGGTTTCACACATATTAAGGGGAATTGTAGAAATTATTTAAGATTTAAGTATATTTAAGGCATTTCTTACTGTAAGTTAATATAGAAAAAGTTTGAAAGACATCATTTTTATAGATAACAAAAACTAGAACTGGAGGAGAGTGAAGTTTATTTCAACTCAGAAAGAACTTAGAAAATATTGCAAATTATTTATCTCTAAGAGGGAACATATCTAAGAAAAGTGGTTTCTTCTCATTAATGAATTAAATCATCATATTCAGCATTATTTCTCTACCTGTATTTGCACATAATTGTTTCATGTTACCCTCCTATTGGTAGTATTTATTTGGAATATAAATTGGTAACATGTTTAAATTACATTTACTTTGAAACTTCTTTAAAGGATGTTTCCATAGAAATTCTCTTAAATGCGTCCTAGGGACCTAGTAAATAAATATGTGTTGACTCACCAACATAAAAAGTGTATATGGAATTAAAATCAGCAAAACAAAAATTTTTTTGCTAATAATCACAGTAAAAATTGAACCAATGTGCTTTTCTTTGCCTAAGATCTGTGTTAAGATTTCAATAGCTCAAATGTTATTCTTGTCTCTAAATTCAAGCAATTTTCAAGTATAATTTTAATATCTAATAATTGAGTTATACTGGGCTACTAAAAGTATACTTGTGATTAGAATATAGCTTTGTGTATCTAAAGCCATGTAATGATTGACAACTACTGATCAAAAAATTGGGTACAATCTCCTCCCGAGTTATGAAGTCAGATTTATGAAGATCAACCTCTGTTTTCTTCTTTAGGAATGGCAAGTTCATTGAAGAAAATGAAAAGTACATATTGAAAGGAAGCAATACAGAACTCACTGTCAGGAACATAATTAATAGTGATGGGGGTCCTTATATCTGCAGGGCCACAAATAAAGCAGGAGAAGATGAAAAGCAGGCATTTCTCCAGGTCTTTGGTAAGTATTATAGCATAGTGGTTAAAATTATGATGTCTAGAAGGAGGTCTGAGTCAAATTCTACTCTGTCACTTATATGTCACTAACTTTCTAAAATTAAATCTGTTTTCACATCTGAAATATATTTTAGCGTTGCAGCTACCAGATAGAATTATTTTAAGAATTACATGAAATGATACATGTATATTCTTACAAAATATTGGCTGACTGATAACAGAAGATGGAAGAAAATTCCTTTAAATTACACATACTGGGAATCTGTTATAACTTACAGATAATTTATATTTACATATATATATGGGTTGGTCTTCATAAATCTTTGAGTGACATTGTTGAGATTAGTTTTACTTTTAATATACTTCAAAACAACACATCTATAAAGCTATCATTAGGAAATATTGACCTGTAACTATAAGAAAATACTCCCTTTCCATTCTATTAAAAGGAAATATAATATTAATATCTTCCATATTTACCAAGAGCCATATTGCCTTCTTTGGGGAACTTACAGAAAGTGAAGAACTAGTAAGGTGTTTTTTTTTTTTTTTTTTTTAATTGATTTAGCTTCCATTATGTTTGTAAGAAGAAAAGCAATTTTACTGGTGTATTTGGAATATATCATTGTCTTTAAAAAGCATAACTTGAAATTGTATGCACTGATAGCATTTAATAAACACTGTTATCAAAATGCTTTCACAACAAAGAGGGGATGTGGGAAGAAAGGAAGATAATTCTGTGAGAATAAGAAGGACCACGATTCATGTAGAGGAAAGAGTAAATAAACTTAAAACTGTTAGACATTATAGAAACCCTTAACTCATTCTAGCAGTATTCCCCACGTAACGAGATTGTTCTCCTTAGAACCTACACTAAATAAGTATGACTCAGTATAAAAATAAATTAATTAATTAAAAATGATAGTTTCTGAGATAATCCCAAAGGGTAGATATTCTCAATTTACATCAGAGAGCTATAATGAAATACTATACAGTCATTTGTTGTTGTTGCTTTTTTTTAATTAGGTTGGCAATGAGTGAAAACAAAGAGATAAAAGAAAGATTCTAACATTTTTATCTTTTCAAATGGAAAATACTTCATGATATGGTACCTCACTGTTGTAATCACTTTTTTATAGTAACACTAAACAAATTTGCATTGTGTTAGAAACAAAATCAAATATATATAGTAGAAATCCAACTAAATCCATTAAAGTCAATGGAGTAAACACTGAGTTGTTAAAAATTATACATGCCATATTTCCAATATTAGGAACCTAGTTTTCTAAGATTAAAAACAACTTATATCCCATGATTTATATCCCAACTTTATATCCCATGATTAATTGCATTTAAAGATTAAATAAACTGTTACTTTTCTAAAACACCAAGTGCTGGCTTTTATCCCTTTTAAGTTCTATCATGTAAAAATTAATGAAATGTAGATAGTACAGACTTTACAATCATATAGTTCTGTGGTATCATGTAATTTGTGGATGGACATCATTTTTAATATAAAGATAATTTAAATAAGTAGAAATAATGTATTTTCTCATTACTGAAGTCATAATTATAAAGAAATGATTAGCTACCCTGCCTAAAATATTGTTAAAATAAATTGAAGTAAAAATAAGTTGATTGGGATAATATAAGAAACTAACATATATATGTGTATATATATATATATTTACTTCATAAATATTTTAAATATTGTACATAATTATACTTACTACATATTCAAGATACAATCATTTTCTTCTTGGGTGAAATTATTTTTAAAGCTTAAGAGATAATCACTAAATAAGCAGATGTCACACTTATAAACACACACTCATAAACAGGTACCATGTGGCTTTAAAAGAGGAAATTTTAATTTTGTAGCTTTAAGAGAGGAAAAAATAAGTCTTTTAAACTACAAAATTTCAAAAGGAATTATAATTTGTATGTTGGCTTGTAAGCCACTTCAAATTATCTCTATGATAATTGATGAGAATTATTTTCTAAAGCTTTTTCTCCTGTCCTTTGCGAGTCTCTTGGCACTCCTTTAAAGCAAAGCATGCTGCTGTAACTGCTACAAAGTTAGTAATTCTATACTCCACTAATGTGGACTTAAATGCCCACTATGGCTTTTAAGTCTGAATGGTAATATTTTCCTCCCATACAGATTGAGTAATGTATATATTCTTTACAGTACAGCCTCACATAATACAGCTCAAAAATGAGACTACGTATGAGGATGGTCAAGTCACACTTATATGTGAAGCAGAAGGGGAGCCTCTTCCAGAAATCACTTGGAAAAGAGCACTAGATGGCATCACATTTTCCGAAGGCGATAAGGTAACAGGAACTCAATATATAGTGATTTTCAATACCATTGTATTCTCAGAGTTTTGCATATTATTTACTCTCACACTGGACTCCACTTTACCAAGTAATTTGTAGGAATGCAAGAAATGGCTTAAATTTTAAGAAGGTAACTCTACCACAGTCAGCCTAAAAGTAAGTGGAGGAGAAAAAAGTGAAAGTGTGATATTTAAAGATGTTCTTCATTAAGCCACAAAATCTTAGGTTGTTGGTGTTCTTAAGTTTGCTTACATGGACTTTCGGCGTACCTTGAATCTATAAATTTTGTTATTGTAATTTTAGCCCCCCCACCCCTTGCTGTGAAAATGAAAGTCATTCCAGTTCACCAGATTCTGCTGTCACCTTTAACTCTTTATGCTTTAGAATTGTCTTTGTGCAGCGGTAGGTTAGGTTTTTGCTTTCATGTAATTTAGAATATAATAAAGAGAAATAAGCACAAGCACACCAAAATACAGCATTTTGGCAATTGTCATTCCCATGTAAATTGGCAACCTGTCACCAGAATGCGTTCAAATTACTAACAAATTAATAGATTTTCATTAGTTATTTTTCATAATTATTTGTATAAAACTCCAAAGTATGGACAAAAGTGAAACAGAAAGGAAGAGACAGTGAATTAGTGATATGATGAATTGACATTTCACACATGTAAAAGAGGGTAAGATTAAGCTTACAGATCTCTTTTCTTAATATTAAAGAAAACCCCTTTAAATCTTTCATTAATTTAAATCAAGTTCTACAAAACAGTGATTTCTGCAATATAAGTACCTTTGACTTATCAACACTGATAGCAGAAAAATTTGAAACCAATTTATCTGAAAGGCATTTTCTATCCCTCCAATTCATCATGTAGTTTTGAACAACATGCTAACTCCATAAATTGACAAAACAGCCATCTCCCTGCCTATTTACTATTTATTCTTTGCAAGAATTGTATTCACATATATGATATGTATATATGTATGTATCATGTAAGATGTACGTTATATATATATATATATATATATATCTCACTTCTTTGCTTCATTTCCTCCTCATGATGACATTTTTAAGAGAGTATATCTTTTTTGGTAATAGTTATACTATTTTGATATACTTATTTTATATGTACAAACTGAAAAATCAAATTTATAAAATATCTTCTGGCAACCAAGAGACACCATACAAACTTTGCTTTAACATTTTCTTAACAGAAAATCACAAATATTTTTAAGGCACAGTTGTCAAATCTGAAAGTAGTTATATTTTCATAAAATTATTTTAAATTATAAAACAATTAGATAAAACTGTAGGTAATTGTTTTTCTGTCAATTTAGTACATTTCTTTAGACAAGATCTGTCAATAATAATGATTTTCATGTCTATAAGCCCTTATTAATTATACCTTCATTTTCCTAACTCATGCTTTCATTATATTCTTTTCCACTGTAAAACTCCTAAAAGTTCTCATCTTTTTTTTTATTAGTAGCTGTTTATTGATCAAATGGTTTGATGTAAAGTTATTTAAATATATGGAATGCTTCACGAATTTGCATATCATCCTTACCCAGGGGCCATGCTAATCTACTCCGTATCATTCCAATTTTAGTCTATGTGCCGCTGAAGTGAGCCAGCCAGCTCTTAAAAGTTCTCATCTTAAAGATAGTGTTTATTCTTCATTTAATAGATGTTTCCTAATGTGTATACCAACAATGATAGATACATTATATTCAGTTATTTTATCATGAAAAGTTATCAAAATACCAGAAGGCTGTGAAATTTTTTTCTACGCTGTAAACCCCAGACCACTCAAAGTCATATGCAGAAATTTCTTCTCTAGTTTTGAAGAATAATTAACTAGCTTTGTTTGAATAGAACTTTCTCTGTTAAAATACTCCTCTTATATTTTTTATTTGGTTTATTTGCTACAAAACAATCACAGAAACCCATATATGCTTTTGTTTTTCCAAATGTAACTTTTATCCAGTGGATAAAGAAATTAAGGTTATTCACTTTCTATCATGATATTTCTCCAAAATCACTTTAAGATTCATATCTTATTTTCTGCATGGTAAGCCTCCTTTCTCCTAACATTACTAGTTTTTTCAACAGCCAAAATTCAAAAACTGAATGGTTGACCTGGGCTTTGAAGAAGACATATCTAGTTTAAATCTCAGCTCTGCCATTTGACAATATTATCTGAAGTCTTATTAATATGAGTTTCTTTGTCTTTAAAATGTGAATAATAATATTTTCTTCCCTTAAAAGTATAAGAAATCTGAGGAGTATACCAAACTCTTTACATTTTGTAAATATTCAATAAACTTTTTTTTATTATATCACTCTGTCAAATTACACAATTTTCAAAGCATAGTTTATCTTGTTTCTGTTATTCTGAATAAATTCTAGTTGTTATTAGCTCCATAAAGTCTGGTACCTAAGGTTTGATTCATCACTCTCACAGAGTATTTTCAGATCATATCTCTCTTGTCATGGAAAGTATGAGATTATATTTTCCACAAGAATCACTTGGAGATCCTGTTAAAATGCACTTTCCAGAATCCCACTCCCCGAGGTTGACTTAGTATGTTTAACACAGGACCTAGAAGGACATATTTAATAAACTCATAAGTTTGGTATATGGATTGACTTCAGGCCATACTCTGGAAAACAATTCCCTAAGTCACATGAAATTTAATAGCTAATCCTGTCAACAGAAAAATGCTCTTAACAGATTACTTGGCACCTGATAGGGACTTGGGAAATATGGAACAAAACAAATCAAAACTTCCCATCATGCATACACTATCAAAGTTTTGATGAAACCGCTCATTGTGTAGGTCATAACATTGAAACAACATCAATGTATTGTGGCTCATACTAATAAACTTCATCAAAAAATATGACCGTGCACTTAGCAAATATGTTCATCAGTGTAGATTTTCAAAGGATGGGATCTCAATTAATAGTATCCCCTTTCCTTGCCTAAATTTTCAATCACCAGATAAGACAAAAGAAATAAATGGGGATAAAATGTCATGTGGCTTAAATCTGCAGGTCAGTTAATGTTCTTATACCATACTAGAGAATTAGATAGACCTATCCAGCACAAGTGCTGAGTAGAATTAGACCTTGTAGCCCCCCAATATGGGAAACTAGATATCAGTGCTAAGGTTACCATCATGGCTGAGAGCAAAGGAGAACCTGTGGTCTCTACAGGAAGGTCCTTTCTGAAAATAAAAAAGAGCAGGGGCGCCTGGGTGGCTCAGTCCTTAAGTGTCTGCCTTCAGCTCAGGTCATGATCCCGGGTCCTGGGATCGAGCCCTGCATTGGGCTCCCTGATCGGCGGGAGGCCTGCTTCTCCCTCTCCGACTCCCCTGCTTGTGTTCCCTCTCTTGCTGGTCTCTCTCTGTCAAATAAATAAATAAAATCTTTAAAAAAAAAAAAAGAAAGAAAAGAAAAAAAGAGCAGCTAGGAAACGCATATTCAGTATGATGCCTCCATAGTTACCAATCAAACATCTGCCATGGTTCTCATGGGGAAGAGTAATTAAGGAGTTGGAAAGTCCAGAACTGGTATGTTCACAGAGCTCCCTTCCCATGGAATAAATGTTAGGAGTCCATGAGAAGTGTTCGTTGTCCAAAAAACTTTATATTAATAACATCTTAATAAACATTGAATATACATTGTCACAATTTAACTTCTGGTATTCTTACTGCATGGTAAATGACCCCAAAACATAGTGGAACAAAACAACCATTTTCTTTTGCTCATGATTTTGTGGATCAGGAATTTGGGGAGGCTCAGCGAAGTGGACATCATGAGGCACCTCAAATGTATATGTTTTATAGAACAACTGAACTATGTATATTAGTATACCATAAAATATCCTTGCATAATATGGCATCCTACAGAAATGACAACAAAAATTATAGTGCTTAGAGTTCTTTTAAACACACGACTCTTTCATCCAACCCACTTGAATGCATCTTATCTACATTTAAAATAGTATATGTAATTTTTACAACTTCAGAAAATTTCAAAAATATATGTAATATGTAAGAAAAAAATATTCACTTGCTTTAAAAATCTTTTCTTAATACTCATTATTATTTCAGAATAACATTTTGTTCATCATTTTATTGTTAAAGAAATTTCACAGTTTTCACTAACTTTTTATTACCTATTTATTGAAAATTTCTAGGCACTTCAGTGCAACTTAAGTATTGTTTATGTTTCTCTATAAAAATATTGATTTATCAGGGTTATCCAGAAAATCATTACACTGACAGCTTAAAATTAGCACATGATTTTGGAGTCATCTTAAGATACATTTGTTTATAAAAATCAGAAATGCCTAGCCTCTTCATTTAATAGATACTATACACATAAACTGAATAATATTTAAACGTATATAATAAAGTATAGGACAAAACCAAAGCTATTGTTCCAGAATATAAAACAGCCATGAATTAAAACTTATAAATTGCTTTATAACTTATAAACTAAGCAATCTAATTTTTTATATTAAAATCTCTATTTTTAACATCAAAAACTGATGATGTAATGTATGGTGATTAACATAACATAATAGTAAAAACAAAATCTCTATTTTTAAAATAAAACCGTGCTTCTTTCACAGTTGATCTACCGATTATATAAGATGATGCTTCTACAATGTTTGACAGAGTCCCTGGCATTAATACCTGTCAATCTATTTTGAACCAGTTTCTTTAGATCATTCCTTCTTATCATTCTTATTAATCAATAAATGTTAGTATATGTAAGATTATAAGTATTGATGAATTAGTATGAGAAGTCATGCAAAATATCACACAAATCAAAGTTTAATCCTAATTTTGTCATTTTGGTACATCATTCACGATATGACTTATATCTGACCAGTTTTTGCATGTCTAAATCAGGATAATAAGATGTCCCCATAATAAAAAGTTTTGGAAGATGAAATGAAAGTCCACATAACAATATCCCAG